CGCGCTTAACTTGTTCCGTAAATTTTAAAAATAATTTCTAAACGCGTTGTTTTATGCATTCCATCTTCGAATCTCACTGGTTAAAAACTGGGAGAAGACCGGGTTACGGTCAACTGAAGCGTTGTCGTTACCGGACTCCTAAGGTTGGAGAGTGCGAGATATCCTTTCCGGTATTTCTGTAAGAAGTTGTTTTAAAACATACATTTATAAAAATTTATTAAACGGTAGACAAAAATAGAAATATCTACTTCAACTTTTTCTTTGTTATTTTATAATAAAATGACTATTGAGCGACAATTATTCATTACAATATGCAATTTGTACTCTGGATTATTATAAAATGCGGTGGAACCTCGTTTAACCAGCGAAACAAATTGTAAAAATGACTGGCTTAACGAGCGACTAGAAGAGAGGAAGTCCCGGATTGCGCGCACGCTTCATAGGTCTACGTTTAGCACTCGTTCCGCTAGCATCTTAGTGTCATTTGCGATCACGCGTCTCTCCCAACTCGTGTTCAGAAATATTATGTATAAACATCAACAACCATAGTTGGTTATATAATAAGCACGCCAAACGATATGCCAAATTCTTGGGCTACGTACGTAAAGGCTATAATTAAATACAGTAGAGCGTCGTTTATCCGAAAGAATTCCAGTCGGCAAATTTAAATTTTCGCTAGTGCTGTGGCGCTGCAATCTTTGGCTATATCTTGGGCTACTCCAATATTTTTTGTTGATGTGNCTGTGGCGCTGCAATCTTTGGCTATATCTTGGGCTACTCCAATATTTTTTTTGTTGATGCGTGTGTTTTAGCTAACAGCACTGGCACTTTTGTATGGTGTTTTTCTGAGGACTGTGTGTCGTGCTGAATCGAACGTTTTTAATACTAAATTAACTTCTAAAGTATAATTTTTTTTGTTTTAATATTTTTCAATATATTTATTTTGTTTGTAAAAAATAAAGAAATAATTTTTAACGATACAATAGCCACGATTATTATTTTAAAAAGTTTACGTTAGGCTTAACATCGACGAAAATTCAAGGCGAAGCCACACGCAACGGAGAAAAATTTCAACATGGGATAGATTAATATATTTTTTGGTACATAATCGGTTATCCGAACAACCCAGTCCCCAATTGATTCGGATAAACGACGCTCTACTGTATTAGAAATTAATTAATTTGACTAGAGGTAGGCAATTATAATTGTAAATAAATAATTTTTAATTTAGACATTTCTAAAATTTAATACGAGATGGCAGCGTAATTAATTTCTGATATTGAATTACAGCCTTTACATGGCCCGACAATTTGCGTATCGTTTGGCGCGTTCATCACACATATTATCTGATTCTTTTTCTGGTTTTATTTGTTTCTCGCAAATCGAATTGGCATTCCGCGCTAGAAGAAAAGATGAAGATGATTGACGCTCCTTAACAATGTACATTATATAATTTTCTTTGAATAAACGTTATAAATAAAATATTTGAGTATTTTTTCGGCACGAAAAGCATTATCGTATTTTACATTAATTTCTATGGGAAAACTGTTTCGATTAACGAGTGCTTCGCATTACGAGTAAGATTCTGAACCGAATTACGCTGGTTAAGCGAGGTTCCACTGTATTACTTTAAATGGCTGAAAGTGTTAACTTTGATTACTATATTTTATTTTAAGTTTTAAAGTGTGTTTTCAGACCACAAACAACATATTATAACATTTATTCTGTTTAATAAATCATTATTGTAATGTTTCTGTTATTCTGTTTAATAAGTTGCGTAATGTTGTCGTACAACCCGTCGATCAAACAGCTTATAGACTAGTACCCATCCGAGACCACGTTTTAGTGTAATTTAAACAGGGTTAATTAAAAGCGCTTAAATGATGCGTATCGCCAGCATTTTATAATAAGTGGAAAATATTAAAGCAGTTTATATACTGGATTTTTGTTTTCATCTAACAATGCGAAATATTTAAAAGAAATCTCTATTAGTAACTAATACTGTATTTTCCAATTTGACTAAAAGTTAGTTCAGAAAATGCAACACGTTCGCACCGAACGACGGTGTATGCAGCAAATAGCATCATTTGTATCAAACTATGAATTTATAAAAGCCATAATAATTATAAAATATGCATTAAATTTCAGTCGATTGTTTCTTATTCGAGCAATCTTTACGGCCGTTCTTCTCGATAAAGGAAAACATCGACTAAAAGAACAAAATAATTTACCGTAGTCTTCTAAGCCAGTAATGGCGTATTATTATATTACAAATCTCATACGGCAGAAATATTCCCAATAATTAATAAATATTAATAATAATTTAATTAATATAAATGTTTTCGTTACTATTGAATTTTAGTAAATCTGGTTTCTCCGTAAATAATCATTAATAAACCATTACTTATATTAAGTCTCAAATCATCATTCTCCCGAATCTATCAGAGAGAAACGAAACAATCTTATACTTTTGGATGCGGAATGTTTACAATTCGGTGCCGAACATCAAACCATTTTAAAAGTATATGTAAATAACAAGAAATCCAACGAATTCGGATCGAAAGAAACGATCGGCTTGGCTCTAGCAATTCTGTACACATAATTCCAAAAGGATCCAAAATGGCGACTGCCGCCACGCATCGCGGTATCGTGTCTACACCTTACGTTTATAGACCTCGACCCTACATTCGAAACTGGCTCCATCTGCCAGCCGTAAATATAAACGAGCAACTATAGTAGGTAGGCCACGCGCTACTCGAAAACGATGCCTACCGGGATTGATTTGTATATCGATTAAACTGGATACGCTGGTAAAGTCGAACAAGTTAAACGCGTTAGCTCTGCGGCGACGACGTTTCGAACGAAACTCTAACGAAGTTCACGAAGAAAAGAGTTAGTTGGCTTCGTTAAGAAAATGGCGCCCGACGATATGCACGTTTCTAAATCTATTCGAGTGTTTAAACTGCGCAATAAAAGGTGAAACGATGGAAATAACTGTCCACCCGAAGCTATCTAAGGAAAATGCACTAGAAACATTCGTATCTTGGATTTTAGAAACGAATCGGTCGAAAAGTCTAACGAAATAAGAATAACGACGACGTCATTCTCGTTTAACTCGTTCCACTTTACCAGCGCACTCTTTCTAAGTTTGCTTACGATCTTGTCAAAAATTTTGGATGGGAAAAATATTGGAAATTGCTGGAAGTTTGGAATATCGAATACTTTGTACCCGAATTACGATTAGGCCATTCCCAATACTCTCGCACTTAGGGAACTTACGCAGTGTAGAGGGTACAGCAGTTCGAGAGGTTTTCTTTCATAAAATCAATCAACTTGACTCGAAAATTTCCAAAACACGTATAACTTTTTGACAATGATCGGTATAAAATAAGTTATAAGGGAAAAATTGTAGAAAAACTTACAGAGTGCGAACCGTTGGAAGACGCCATCGCTTAAGCTGGTTTTCTTGGCGGAGCGGCGCGGTGGAAAGCGGACGCGTATCACGTGACGAGAATCATGTCAATTCGGTCAGCATGCATTTCTGGAAAGATGCCACCCGTTGCTCTCCGGGAAACCACCGAGACGCGAGACCTGGCGGCTTCGGTCCGGAAAAAGAACTTACAATCCTTAGACGGCTGCCGTTCCTCTGGCCCGGGGTCGGCACTCGTCTTTCGCCATAAAATCCGCCGAATGCGCCAATGCAGATTTCGGAGGTCGACGGTAATGGTTGTACTGTACTCTCGGATCGAGTCCTGCACGCCAGTTACGGTAAATTTATGGCTCGATAAACAGTAGGAACCCATTCGTCGGTAACGAAACCGGCCGAAATCGCCACGTCAGCTTTGACCAGATAATGCAAACCGCCAAAATGGTTAAAAAATAAATGAACCTTTAATTAATTAAAAGACTTTCCGGCCAAACACGTACAGCACCCGGAGCCAACTTATTTTAATAGCCCGTTCGCACCGAACATTTCGATCAAGATCAATGTTTCTCAACGGGAGCGATTTCGCCCCCGTGTGGGCGTTTTTCCACGTAGAGGGGCGGTTAATAACAATTTATATTTTGGAGGGCAAAAAGAATTTTCTGGGCGATATAGTAAAACATTACATTAAGACTAATTAGATATTTTATTGGTTATATCGTACAATAATTAAACAAATAGCGTTATACTAGTCACTAGTCTATTCGATGCGGTACGAATTTGGCGTTAGCCTCGGCCCTGGGCATCGGAATTTTGAAGCCAAGGGGGCGATACTACGTAACGGTTTTATTGAAGGGGGCGACGATTCGTTAGAGGTTGAGAAACGCTGATCTAGATTGTGACCAAGGTCGGCGACTATGCCGTGGTGCGACCTCTCTCGATCGTTTCGATCTCGACCGAAACGATGTTCAATCGCGATCGATTCGACAGAGTTCTCGAAGCTAGATCCAGTCATAACAGAGATCCCACAATCCCACGAGCGCGAGAAAATACAAGATGGCTGCGGAACACGTGTCGGGCTATCGACAGAGAAATAAAAAAGACATCTGTCTATTATTATATATACGGCAAGATAAAGTATTTATTTCTAACCAAATCTTCCATTTTGTTTGTTGGTGTTTGTGACTAACCGCGTAGTTATGTCAGTTTTGTCAACGCGTGTTATAGCCGGGTTCTTCCCGAGCGAACTGCCTGCGCGAACAGCTCGACGTTAGTCTGGCGACAGTTACAATCCAGATTATAGGTAAATCGAGATCGAAGCGAGTGGCGAACGTAGTATAAGGCAAAAGTAAGAACGCCCGTTATAACAAAAAAGCTCCGTTGTCTAAGACCGCCGGACGCTCGGTACACCTGGACCGGGCGACCAGTCTACAAGTGGATCCCTCCGTCCGCAGTTTTAATCCTCTTCCCGAGTCGATTTAAACCCGCTTTCGCGGCTTACTTCCTACTCCCACGGAACCCCGCAGTTAAAAAGAATGGGAAAACAAGGCGGGAAAGAAGAAGAGGCGGAGAGCGGTGCGTGGAGAAACGTGATTTAATGAAGACGAAAGAAATTTACACGGGTCACTCGGGCTTGAGACACAGACACTTGAAGTCTTCGCACTTGCCGATGGACTCCTTGGCGGCGCAGTGGTCTTCGCAGAACTTCTCGATGACCGGACAGGCGTACTCCGACTTGGACGTCAACTTGTCCCACGCACCCTTCACCGTCACTTTGGCTGCAAAAATCCGAATTCCGGGTTAGCGGCGGCGTGGTCCGAAGTCTCAACCCGGGCGTCCGACGGAGTCGTCGGCGGGTGCGAAACTCCGGAGGAAACGGTCGACGAAAATGCCGGAGGCGTGGACCGACGTGGGTCTAGGGGGCCCCCGATCTACTCCGTTGGCTCGTTCTTCCGCGCCGGCTAGTTTCGGGCCTAAGGCGAACTCCGCCTTTTTGTTCCGTCTCGTTCTTCCCGGTTCTAACGCCGAAGCATCCGACGCGGGGCCGCACCCCAGACTTTTGGGCCCGGTTACAAACAATTCTACCAGGTTTTAATTGTAATCGCCCGTTTCGGAGCCTTCCGTCCGAGTCGACGTTTACCGCGTTTGAAGACGGACCACGGAGTAAGCGGGAGGCGGCCTTCTTTTTGCCTGTTTAAAAATGCCCGACCACGGCTAATTTCTACGGAGGGCCCGAATCCAGCGGCCACCGACGAAACAATTTCCACGGAATTGCCGAAACGGGAAAAGAGCGGAAGAGACCGGACGCTAATTCTCCCCTAGCCTCCTTTTCTCCCGCTTCGGCGGAGGGGAGGCCGGAGACGGTCCGGGCGGAAGAAGCGGGCGCCAACGGAAATAAATAGCAATTTCTGTTTGTATCTTCGTCTACTCGGACCTCGTTTATTAACAGGACGGAACGGAACAACAAAGTATCTTTATTTTTATTTTGTTTTGACTTTCGACTAAAAACTCCTCTCTTTGCCATTCGGAAAATACACCGGTATAAGCTATTAAGGTCCTATTAATAAACAAGGTCGGAGTAGACGAATATGAACAGAAATTGATAAGAGTAAGAACGTAGAGATAAGAAGGAAAATAAATACCATCGGCTAGCTTTTTCTTGATTTTGCTCATTATCTCCTTGCCTCTTCCGGCCTCTGAAAAAATACCCACCCGGGTTATTGTCTTTCCGGGATAGGGCCCTTCGGGAAGAGAAGAGGAGTACTTACCTGCCAGGGTGTGGAGTAGCAACAAGGAGGCCAGAAGGGCCCAGATCCAACGACGACCGACGGAGACCATCTGCCGAGAAAAAGTGGTTAGACTCCGCTCTTTTCCGGCTCCCCCTATCCCTCCCGGCCAAGGAAGACGGAAGAGAAGGGACTCCGGCCGATTCCCAAAGCGCGGTTGCCGGAAAAAGGCGTTGGAGCGGGAACGGAGGGGAAAGGACGGAGATTCTTACCTCGAATTGTACGGAGGAACGAGTCGACGGCCCGATCCCGGCCGTCTCTTTTATTCGGCGCCGGGGAGATCACTCACCCGCTCGGAATTCGCACCACCTGCGCTCGGCCGTAAAGGCCGGTTTCTTCCCCCTCCACACTCTCGTCCCGACCGTGGCTTCGGTTAGAGCGGACAGAAAGGTGTCGGAAGTCGTCGTTTATTCGAAACTAGCGGGCCCACTCCGCGGCCGAAGCTTAATGACGCGTCGGGCGACGTTCCCATCCTGGCGGGTACCCACTCCCACACCAATTATTTTTTCAGCCACGCGTTATATTAAGCCGACGAGGATGGCACCGGGGGCGAATCTAGGTTTTCGGGGCCTAGAGCTCGTCGAAGTCCAACGGGGCCCCATTTTAAAAATCTTTAAATTGGGGTTTAAGATTCGTTTTTAATAACATCAAAATCAGAGTTGAAATATATTTATGAAACGGTGTTGAATGACAAACTTCATATCTTA